TTGATTGGGGGAGGAGGAGGGAAAGGGGAGGCGGAGGTGGGGAAGAGACAGAAATCTTTAATAAATTAAAATAAATAAATAAATAAATGAAAAAAAGAAAACATACATTGCAAAGGATATTTTACCCATACTGAGTGGTGACCATCTAAAAGGATCTTCTATTAAGGCTGGAAGAGAATGCTTCTAAATCCAAGTGGAGTCTTGAAAGTCACCCAGGGATGTTAGTTAAAAGCAGTTTGATAGAACAGCCCTCCTGTCATCATTCCCCAAAATTGGACTCTGTGGGCTCTGCCATGCTTGGGTGTCTGTAGCAGTGTGCCCGGGGGAAGTGCTCACCTTGGCCAGCTCTAAACTGGGCAAAGTCATCCCCTAGGCCCTGCTGATAACAGTCTTCACCTGCTGCTCTCCAGCGGGTAGAATTCGAAGACTGGTCCATGTGGTATACGTAAGAACTCTTCCAGTTAAAATTCTCAAGTTATAAATGTTCTCAATATCCCTACTTACAAAGATGCCTAGGCTTTTGACTTTTGTCAGAAATATTCAACCTACACTGGGCTCTCATTTTGTTCATGGGATTTACCAGTTGTACACACAAGAGGTCATGGGTATTTCCTACATCATCCAGTCTTCGTCTGGCGCTTAATGTTTGGTGGTCCCCGTGTTTTCCTGCACCAAATCCATCAGCTAGTCCTCTCTTCTCAACCCTTATGCTATTTGTCTTCACCATTTCCCCTCCTTTTCCTACAAGAGCCCTAAATTGACCTACTTGACGTTTGTCCCTGTGAATATACAAGACACATTACCACCCCATGACACTGTCCTAAAGCAAACCATGCTGTTCTCTGTCTCTGCTCCCTAACGTGCTCCCTCTGGATCACAGGCTTTGGTCTTCCTCGTGACTGGGATCATCTTCATGATGGGAAGCATGGCGCTCATCATAATCGACTGGATTTACAACCCTCCAAATCCCAAGCACCACTAAGCCCGAGGAAAGACTTTCCATTGGAAATGACTGAAGTTATGCTCCAGAGGACATCCTAGTGGCCCCGACGGGGATGTCATTGAGAGAAAACAACAAGAAGATTCCAAGGACACATCCTAGTTCCATTGCCTGAGACCCGTGAGAGAGAAAATGATGGGTTTGGTCGGGAATGGCGAATGATGCATTAAAAAGCTGTGGCGCACATTTCAACCCAGGCCTTCTAGTGCGGTGTGTGGTGCCCAAGGTGTGTTCTGCAGATGTGCAAGCAGAATCCGCTTGACTGTGTATCTTGGTCAGCAAATAATGCCATGTCCCCTCTGCTCACTCCCCACACTTCACCGCCCCAGATTAACAAATAATTTGATTCTCAACATCAAGCAAAAAATGCCCCAGTGGCAAAGCCATCATCACTTAAGGCCATCTCCCATCCTGCAGCAACACTACGAGTCTACTGACTGACGGAGACAGGCGTGTATCTTGAGAACGGTCCCTGTGAGGTTCATGAACGGCAGATACCAGTCTAGAGTACTTTGTTACGATACTAAAGAGTAGTTTGCCCAATCTGCTTGTTACACTGAATTAGCGCCATTGGTTTTTATGGTAAATGCCAAAAACAGCTCACTAAACGGGAGGTGGAGGTGGTATTTAATTATCAAGAAGTAACAACAACAAAAAAAAAAAAAAAAAAGAAGTAACAACAAAATGATGCTTTTAGCTAAGCTGCCCAGTGAGCCAGCCCCTGCTTTTTCATGTCATTCCTGGGATTTTTGTCACACTTTTGTCCTTGAACAAGGCTTTCCCTCTTGTCTTCCATTCTCATGCATAATTTTCAGAAGACCATAATTCAAGTGGAAACACACTACCCAGTATTGTTTGATACAGTTTTTTATTTGATAAACATTCAGTGCAGGAAACTGTAATTTTGCTCTAGGTTTGTGTATATAATCTCATTCTGCAGTTATCAGAATGTTGACATATGGTACATTGCATTTTTATTTTTTACATGTGTAGCTTTCTTTCTTCACAGTCAAAACATTTATATTATCAGGTGGGGGCAGAGAATTAAGCTAGTTGGCTCCAAAATCCATGTGTATGTATCTGTCCATGGAGACATCTAAAAATTAAAACCAAAGTTGTACGTAGTTCAGTAATGCTCTTCACTGTTTACAGCACTATAAACATCCATAGGAAGGTAGCAAAGGAAGGGGCTCCTCATTTGTAAAAAATTTCCAGCGCTAGCATTGGTCTTTGAGTTTCACAGGTCTAGAATAGGGCTCTGCTTCTTGGAGCTCACATGGGAATTTGCTGACATTCATCTGTCACTAATATAATGTCAAGTGGCTATAAATAAATGCACTAGCATGGCATGGAAACAGAGGGACTGTTCTTGTTCACATCCATAGACACTTACATGGGATGGAGATCAGTTGCTACTCACTGCCCAGAAGTTTTGGCATTCACTACTATTTTTTTCAATTATTTGTTGTGTACTTTACATTTCAGTAAAGCCAAGTATGAAATATACGTACCATACAGATAATGAACATACTGTCGTACTAAAACAGTTTTTCTGTAGTGTGCCTAAAAACATATATTTGCTTTATGTATCACTTTCTGGAGTTATCATACTATAAAATGATGTGCTTTGTGATAGAAAACGAGCATTACTAGAAACTATCATAATTTTTAAGTTATTATGATTTGGGAGGAAAAATAATCACCAAATAGCATCTTTAAGATGTCTCTCCATTTTTGTTCGCCCAACAAATAAACCAAGACAGAGAGTAGAAAAGGTATGTATGTTTAGTCTGAACATATTTAAATGTAAATATAAAAGGCTAATCCAAAAATGTTGGAAAACTGTAAAATCTGTATATATTTTGAGTATTTTGCATTGCGGATGACTAACTTGAAAGTATCCACATTTGTAATTATATAAATATTCAAGAGCAATACGATAGTGCCAAAGACTACCCACAGTACCGTTCTGTCGCATGGCAGTTTGCAGGGTTCGGGTTCGCACAAGCTGCAGGGCAGATTTGCAGAGTGCCTTGTCCTGGGTATCTTGTTCTGGGTACCTTGTCTTGGGTACCTTGTCTTGGGTACCTTGTCCTGGGTACCTTGGCCTGGGTACCTTGTCTTGGGTACCTTGTCCTGGGTACCTTGTCCTGGGTACCTTGGCCTGGGTACCTTGGCCTGGGTACCTTGTCCTGGGTACCTTGTCCTGGGTACCTTGGCCTGGGTACCTTGTTCTGGGTACCTTGTCTTGGGTACCTTGTCCTGGGTACCTTGTTCTGGGGTGCCTTGTTCTGGCAAATTTAACCCATTTGGAAACATATACAAAATTTTATTTTCTTATATCATTTATAAGGTGGTTCGATGTACTGGGAAGATTTTTTTATTACAGAGACTGTATATTGGTATATAATAAACAACCTTTTCAAATGACCCGGCTTGATTTTCCTTCTCAGTAAAGAAGGCTGGGGATTATTATTTGTACATGAAACAAAACTGAAAGTCTAAATATCACCCTTCTTAAACTCATGCATGTCCATCATGCATATGCGGAAGGCTCAAGTCCTTCACCCCCTGCAGATACAAAACACATCAGTGCCTTCATCTCACACACGTCTGTCTCACATGTGTCTATCATCTAGCACTAGAAAGTAGAAGCAGGAGAATTGTCGATTTGAGACCACTCTGGGCTACACAGTAAGGCATGATCTTGAAAAAGTCAGGGGGTAGCAATGACATTGTTTTCTGGTTGTAGAAGTCAGCTATCCTAACATCAAGGACTGGTGGTTCTACCTATCTCTGGAGTTCTAGGGTTGGATCTAATCTATCCCCTTGCCTTTTCCAACTTTTAGAAGCCACATAGATTCCTTGGCTCCTCACCTCTTCTTCCATCTTCCAAGTTCACAATGCATGGTCTTCCAATGCATATCTCTCTCTCTCTCTCTCTCTCTCTCTCTCTCTCTCTCTCTCTCCCTCCCTCCCTCCCTTCCTCCCTTTAAAAATTCTTGTGACTGCATGGGATCCATCCAAATAATACAGGTAATATTCCTTTGCAAAGATCCCTAACCACACCCATGAAGTCCCCTTGCCTAAGCTGCAAGGACTAAGATATGAACATTTGGGGGGGGGGTCATTCTTTCTACCACCCCCCACATACATCTCCTAGCCTATACCACAGACGATGATTGTGTTTAGTTGTGTTTAGTATGTCTCTGAATGATATAAAAAGAGGTGAAAGACATATTTTAAAAACATGATTCTGGTTACTGCCTGGAAACCGGAACGGGAGAGAGTGAAGATGAAGAAGGAAGAAGCTGCAGGCCTGTTACAGGCCAACAAGGAGAGCCATCCTTCCCATTGGTAAGTTCATTCTGTCTTAAACTAGAGAAGCACTTGTGGTCAAAAGTCTTTCAGATACACATTTCTCCGGGCTCTTTATTTACATTGGAGTCATCCTTTATTAATTATAGCAAGATTAAACTAGAAGAAGGAATGTAAGCTGACTAATACTGGGGTGTGTCTGATTCTAAGCACCTTGTACATCTTGGAAGGTCAGAGGCATCTTGTAGGCACTTTCAGAAAGAGGTGCTCACCTACACTCCTAGAGTCCTCCAAGTTTGAGTCCAGTATATAGAAGAGATAGCAATAGTGTGAAGGGACATCCCAGTGGGAGCATCCCAGAGAAAGAGAGTATCCCACCGAGATAATCCCAGAAAAAGAGAGCATCCCCATGAAAGAGAGCATCCCCGAGAAAGAGAACATCCCTGTAATAACATCCCAGTGAGAGCATATACTTTATGTTATATGTTATTCTTTTTACATATGAATCATGTTATAGTTTTAAAAAATATTTATGTAGGAGTTTTCAGTTAAAACCTCTGTCTCAAGTTCTAAAAATCCTCTTTTCAGTAATTAGATTTTATAAAATTTCCAAATTTAAAGAACATTACAGCCTGGTGTGGGAAGATGTCTCTATTCTCCCAGAGAAAATGGCTCCTATGGGCTGGATCCTCTTCCACTAAGCCTCTGGAACAGAGGGGACTCAGCCACTATGAACAGTTCAGGAACTTAGTGCCTGGGACTCCTCTGTCTGCTCAGAGACACTGTGATATCTGGGGTCTACAGGCTGGGAAATCTTACAGTAGCAAAAAGTGAAGTTTTTGGTAAGTGGAGACAAAGGAAGGTAATATCAATGAACTCAAGCAAATTTGTGTCTGAACAGTGGGAGAAAAGAAGGTGAAAACAAAGATCAAATCTCCCAAAATACAAGAAGGCCATGCTGCTGTGGGGCAAAAGACAAAAATAAACTCAACATTTCTGTTACTAGAATTCCAGAAGGAGCTTAAAGCTGAAACCTACATGTTCAAAAAGCTGAGTAAATCCCAAGTAGTATAAACTTGTTAAAATTTGTGCTAAATAGTCTGGCCTCTGAAAACTAATGTCAAGAAAAAAAATCTGATGTCTACCTGTGTGGACAAAGACACAAACACTCAATGGAACTGTTAAGATGTCCCCAGTGGTGCAACAGTGATACTCGCATCTTAGAGGTAACCAACAGCTGTCTAGTTGGACCTAAAACCCACTCAATACCTGTACTAAAAACTTAGCCAAGAACGCATGGCTAGAGAGATCACAGGCCTTGGAGGAGTGTTTCGGGAGGTCCTTCCGCTCCTCCAGCCAATAGCCGCTGAGATACCAACCCATTGGGGCGTGGTCTCTCTCCCTTTAAAAAAAAAAAAACGGCCCTTCTTGCTCTCTTTTACTTCCTGCTCCACTTCTGGAGACTAGACTCCCTTCCTGATTGCGCAGAGGGCTGTTGTCTGGGACGGTGATCTGTAAGTTTTTTCCCCTTTAAATAAATAACCATTCTATTAATCATAATTCTAAACTGGTGTGGGATTGTTTTTAACTTATGCCTTCGCCTTCAGAGGAGAACCAGGAGACGTCCCTTGTGAGGTTGGGTATCCCACACCCCCAAATGGGACATCTATAACAAAACTCAGGAATCTTCCTGGAAGAGGGATTAGAAAGATGGTAAGAATCTGGGGACCAGATTCTTTGTAAACTGTATCACTTCGACAAGCACAGTTTACAGTGCTTTGTAAACTGTATCACTTCGACAAGACAGGGATGCTACACTCATGAATTCTCAACAATATGGGGGGCCTGCACAAGACCCATAAAGGCCACACCAAGTGACATGCCAACATAGATGGAGGAAAAGTGAACAAGGCCAACCCTAGATAAAGAACAGTCAATGGGTAGTGATGGAGAGAGAGAGCCGGCCTTTTCCCCTAGGGATGAGACGCCTCCATTTTTAAGTGATCAGCCCTCTGAACACATGCGTAGATATATAAATGCATACATGAGTGATAGATGAAAGATAAACAGGTGATATAGATAGATGATAGCTAGACATATAGATAGATATGTATTTATATGAAAATTAAAATAAATATAGAAGAGAGAACAATTTGAGAGAGGGTGGTTAGGGTCGTGGCCAGAATTGAGGGGTAGAATGTGTGGTTAAAGTGTATTTATTTGTGAAATTAGCCTGAGTTTAGTTTTCCTTCCTTCTTAAGACTGAATGGCATTCTGCACGGGCACATTGTTTTCTCTATCCACTCTTCCTTCAGTAGATAACATCATTTCTACTCCATGGGGATAATGCCCCAGTTGTCATGGGTTGCAGGCATCAGATGTCTAAGAAGCTCTCTTCCATCTTTTGGCCAGAAGTGGGACTCCTGGGTCACACAGCAAATTCCATTTTAACTTTTTGAGCAGTCTCCATCCCACTTTCTAAGGTGGCTATGCCATTTTACATCCACGGCAACCAGGTTCCTATACATTCATCATTTTGAATATGTTTGATGCTGAGTGTCTATATATTATAAACATTTTCCTTAAGCCTTTCCTGGTTTCTGTAGCTGTTCCTACAATGTCTTTTTCACTTAACAGCATTGTATTTTGACCTAGTCCATTATATCCTTTATTTCCTCCAAACCTAAGGACATCAAAGCATTGTGTTTTAAACTTTGGAATATGTCTAAAATATTTAGAAACTTATCAGTAATTTATTTCTGAATGTGGACCTACAAGGAAATTGCTTTCTTCTTTAGGTAATCAGAAGCCTTTCTCTGGTTTGGGGTGTCATGTCTGTCCTGTAGGACTCTTACAAAGGGCAAATGCTTTCCCTGCAGTTCTGTTGACTTCTGCCTTCTGAGCTTGAGTGGAAACAGCCACACGATCTTCTCCCATCCTTCAGCAAACACGTAATTGGATGTTTCGAGTGGGCAAAGTCAATCATGATCCCAATTACACCCAAGAAGGGATTTGAAATAAATGGGAGCACAGAGGCTTCCTGTGAAGAGATTAAGATTGTCTGGGGAGCTCTAAAACAGGCCGATAATTACTTAATGGTAATAAGGAACACCACCAGCATCAACACAAGCTGCATGTGTGCAGAAGGGCTGTGTCATCCGCTGTGGGGCGGAGGGAGAGGATGCTGGGAAAGGAACTCAGGAGAGATGCTCAGGATGTGGGGAAGGGTATGGCTTGGCTGAGAAGTATACATGCTTGGGAAGAGCAACGGAGAAAGGGAAATGGAGGAGGGAAGGGAAGACAAATAGTGAGGGACAGAGAGGGGAGAGGGAGGGTGGGAGAGAGGGGGAGAAATGTAGAAAGAGAAGCCCATAAAGAGACTGCTCCAGTGAGCAATCACAGTGTCTGGACGTGAAGCCATGGCTGAGGGTGAGGACTACAAGCCTTTCCAACAGAAGCTGCCAGGGCTTGAACACTTCCTGCCTTCATGAGCTAAGAACCTTTTTTGACTTGTCTGTGCCTCCACCTCCTCACCTCCAGATCCAAGGTAACTCCT